AATGAGATGGTTGGTCACCTTAATTTACCTGTAAATGTTCTCAGGAGTGGTCTAGGAGCACAGCTCCATCTGAGAGAATTCCTAGGGCTGATCATGCAGCAACTTCTGATTCTTTGCATGCCCTGAGCTGTGTTACTTTCCTGAGCCCCTCCCCTCCGGCCCCTTGTACAAAGCTGACAGTTTCCTAGAAAGCAGTGATCTCGTAGTTTATCTTTTTTTTTTTTTTTTTTTTTTTTGAGTGAGTAAAATTCATTTAAAAAAGATTTGGTACTTGTTATTTGCAAAGTTCACTGACAGGCTTCAAAGTATATTCCTGTTCTCAAAGATCTTACTTGATTGTAAATACAACAAAAATGTGTGACATAAAAAAGCCAAATAATAAAGAAACTCACATATAGGATAAGCATTTTAAGTTCACCAATCAGAATATGATTAATTGCAAACTTGCTCTGGGAAAAAAGAGTAACTTTTAGAGCCTAGAAGTTTGGGGGGTTTTGAGGGGAGGAGTTATTATTTTTATTTTTTTTTTGCAAAACAATGGTAACAATTTCTAAAAATCTGCCACCATTGGTTGAACAAAGTGGAGGAGAGGGATGGTATACTTTAGATAATTCTTCAAGCTTAAAAACCATGAATGGACCAGGCTCCCAGGGTCCTCACTGACACACTCTGAACTGGTAAACTTGCCAAAATATTTTTTTTTCTTCACTTAAAATGGATTATCTGCCAACTTAGATCCTGGGGTAAGAGATTCCTTGAAATATGATTCATAATCATTTAGCTCATTACCTAGCACATATCAGGTGTTCAAAAAATCATTACTATTATGATTTATGTATATATATATATATATATATATATATATATATATATATATATATTATACTGGCAAGTATCATTTTGTTTTCCCTCCACACTTCAAATTTGGAAAAGTCTGGTGCAATTCAAATTTTATATAAGCCACAAATACTGCTTCACTTTCCCTATAGACTTAAAAGGAGTAGAGGACTCACATATGTTACCTGAATGTGCTCTCATTCAAAATATCTTTCATTTTGAAATTGCCAAATTAAGCTCAGGCAATTCATGTGGCTATCAATGCATTAACATTAAACTTATGCTTACAAACTTATCTTACCCCTTTTTCTATTACTTGAGTTATCTACTGCTATATAGTCAATTTCCCCCAAATTTGTCAGCTTAAATCAACACATATTTATTACCCCATGGCCTAAATGGGTCAGGGATCTGGGCATGGTTTAATTGGCTCCTCAACTGCAGGGTGTCACAAGCAGGTCTCACCTGCATTCAAGGAGTGTGGATCACTGTAGACATCTTACAGTTAAATTGCAAGCCCACATGATTGTTTTCAAGATTCACTTCTTCCTGGGTGGTTAAACTTAGGATCACAGTTTCTAGCTACTGTTGGCTGGAGGCCACCCTCAATTCCTTGTCACATTGGCTTCTTTGTTGTGACAAATTGCCTCATCCAAATGTTCAAGTCAAGAAAGCAATAAAGAGACTATCAGCCTCAAAGAAGTTCCAGCCTTTCATAATGGAATCCTGCAAGTGACATGCCCTCACACCTTTGCCATGGTCTGCTTTTGCCATAGTTTATCAGTTAGAAGAAAGTCATTAGGCTCAGCCCATGTGCAAGAGGAGACAAGGACACAAGAGTTTCAGACCAAAAAGCAGTGAGTATTGTGAGCCACCTGAGAAGCCAAACCTCACATACCCTTTAGAGCTCTTGGTCATGATTAGTTTGCAACTGGTTATATGAAATATGCAGAGTCATAGAAACAACAGAAGTAGGGCCTCTTGCCTTCCTTCTAAGGCAGCAGCCACATTGATTTGTAGCATTCGTCAGAACTAGCCCACTTTGCCGTGTTCTAGAGCACATTTTCTGCTTCAATCACTGCTAATAACAGTTGGAACTAGCCCCAAATCACAGAAATAAAATTAAATTAGGCCATATTTTGGGGGCCAATAATTTAACTCTTTTGGACCTCAATTTCCTTCTGGAAACACGAGGGCTACAATCTCTCAGGCTCCATCCAGCTCCAAAATGGCCTCAAGATATCATAACCTACTCTTGGTAAAGAGGCTGCTATGTATGGCAAAGCCTTTCCCAAACCCAGGAGCCATCTACCCAAGAACATATACCCCTGGAGCAAGAGTGAAGGGATGTATAAGAAATGGTTTTCATAAACTTCATTTTCAGAGTAGAGCTCAGTGGCTTCGTTTTGCCACCCAGGAAGCTCACAAAAATTATCAAAGCTTTGCAAAGGTTGAATGTGTCACTTAACAACAGTGCCACATCAAACACTGAGAAAGGCTTAGAGGGGAGGGAGCAGAGGAAAGAGCTCGTAGATACTCCCAAGGAGAAAGGGACCCTAAGCCAATGTGGAATCCTTGGTCTTCTCCCAAAAGGCCTTGCAAATGGCTTTAGCCAGCAATGGGTGCCCTGTGAGTCCTAGTTGACTGAACAAAGGAAACTGTAGGTGTTTTTGTCTTTCGGGAGGCAATGTATAGTAACCAAATATGTAAGACAAATACACATGCACTGACACACATCAAGATCCATGAACTCACTAAATCAAGAAATTTGCATAGAGATAACAGAAGAAAAATTGTGTTCAGCATGTGGCCAAATGAATTTGGAATCAGAATGGAGGGAATGAGATTAACTGGAAATGTAATGTTATTGGGCTTTTGGCTCCAGAAGAGGAACATTGTCATGACTTGGGGTCATTAGCTTGTGAGGTTGCTTGACTGAACTTGCTATCCTAGACAGTGCTTAGGTGGTTAACATCATGTTTGCCTTATGATTCTCCTTTTATCCAAGCGTCCAAGTGTACTCAACCTCCATTCAGAATAACAGTAGTAGCATAGCTAATAAAAGATTGACTTCATTGGGTAAAGAGTCTAAAAAGCCATCTTGTCTATTTTAAGAATCCTTTGTATACTAGTGTAAGCCTGTATAAGCTAGTTTCCAAGTTTAACTCTTAGTGGGAAATCTTTTTTCCAAGTCCCAGGAGAAAAGGAGATGCCTCTAAGTCCCAACAGGAATATTGGCAACCCTGCACCTATAGTGAGCTGAAATTTTGGACGAGTCTGCATTCTTTTATGAGCCTCAAAACCATAAAGCAGGAATCAAAACACAGAGGCCCTGTAATATATCCCTCCTACCAGCTCTTAACATGTCTAGTTGATAAATTGCTCCATTTGGCAGCAAATGTGGAAAATGGACGAGAAAAGTGGTCTTCAAGCATATTATGCACAGAGCCCAAGTGCCTTGATTCATGTGGCCATGTGACCGCACAATTCCTTCTTTAAGTTTTCTCTACAACAGGATAAATACCAACAGGATAAAAATATAGTTTCCTTTCTTCAATTTAATTATACCTGTATTTTTTCTTTTTTGATATGCACATAAGCAGCAATAATTAATATAAACTGTATATTGTAACAAAATTTCCATATGGCATCTTTTTTCTGTCTGCAAAAATCATATAAAAATGTGTCTTGCCCTTTTGTTGGGGCCATTTACAAGCCTGGGGGCAATTACACAAAGTGTATTAGAGTCACCCACACAATCTCCTAATGGCAGCTTGGCCCAGAGCCAAGCTTTAAGGCAAACCTCAGGGAATTCAAATTTAAAAGTCAGCTACATTAGAGGTAGTGATTTGGTTTGGAGAAGATATCATCTTTCTTGATTTATTACAGCCAGTGCTTTCAGTGCATTTAAAAGATGATCTAGTTTAGCTGCATTTTCAAGGGAGTAATACTGCATAAAATGAGAAACATCTGAACTGGGAATTACCAGAATGGGACCTTGACTAGAGCTCAAAATATGTGGACAGTATAATTCTTCTTAGAAATAGGTCTTCACTCAGAATCTGCAAAAATAACCTACATGAAAATCCCCCATATCTAATTTGTGATCTGTAGGTAGAGATGAGTCCGTTACTGCCAAGTATTTTTAAGTGAGTGCAAGGAATGACCATTTATTATCAGGAATAAGCATATGATTTAAAATGTTAGTCTTGCTAGTGCTTGTAATCTATGAGTAAGCTATACTTACTCTCAGAAAGAATTTCACATCTCTCCTCTCTACGATCCAAAAGAATCTGTACCCACAGTTCTGACTGTGTGGACTCACACTGGTTTTTCCCAGTGCGTGCACTGGACATCATCTATCTCAGCTGGTGATACTGGTGAGTCAGTAAATCTTTTCAAAATATTTATGTTCTTTAATACTAGGTTCAGATTTTGGGGGTGGGGATAGGACTTACAGTACTATTTAGAACAAAGCTATTTAGAAAAAAAAAGTTATTTCTAGAAAAATAAATTTCTCTATGCTTGTATTTTTGGACAGAAAAAAAAAACACTAAGAACTTCAGATCCATTTCCCACTAGTGTCTCCATTCTGATGTTTTATTGCATTCCACAGTGGTTTTGCAACCCAATGTATCAAGAGTTTCCAAGAAGAATGTAAACAGGGCCTTTGCAGTAACTGGGGTAGAAAGAACCCATGACCATGACTGGAAGCAGAAGACTTCCAGGAGCTCTCCCACGACAGCCATGCTGCATTCCAAACCGGCACCAACTTCTTCTGACATGCACACCAGGAAGCAAAATTTGTCTACCAGGAAGAAACTGGGTGGACTCTACTACCTTTAGGAAAACATCAACTCCATTCTCATAGTCCATGTATACATTTATTGTAGCTATCACCTGCACATACATATCATGGTCCAACATTGTCAGATATTATGCAGTTTGGGGAGGGGATCTCTGGTCCCAAAGCTCTTCCCCTTACTCAAGCAACTTCCGCTGCTTTAAGAAAGAAATAACTCAAAATACAAAGGAGTTCAACTTCACTCATTTATTCACACTATTTTTCTCAACAAGTATTTATTGAGCACCACCTATGTGCAAGACCCTGTCCGAAGTGCTGAAAATAAAGCAGAAAAGAATGAGACCAAGTCAGGAACAACTTAGAGGAAGAAGAGTTTATTTTGGGATCACAGCTTCAGAGGCTCAGTCTATGGTCAGCTCACTCAAAGACCTAAAAAAAAAAAAAAACAAAAAAAACAAAAAACAAGGGCAAGGATGTTACATGATGATGTTTCAGAGGCGAAGGGGTGAAAGCAAATGTGGGGGACACAGTTTGTTAGGCATTTTAAATATTAGACAATTTAAATATTAAAGCAATTGATGCAGACCAGCATTCATTTTTAAAAGATATTAATAAGCTCATAAAAGTCAGAAAACACCAGCCAGCGCTCAGAGACACCAGGTGTTAGCTTGGGCTCTGCCTATGGGCCTATCAGCCTTCTTCTGCTGCATTTCTTAGCTTGAGGGTTTACCAATTCTTGAATTCAAATAGATGAATGCAGAGCCCCAAGGGCTCTGGAATCAGAGAGCCTCAGAGAAGGATTTGGGTTAGTCACAGTACAGAATACATATCAGACACAAACTAGACTCTAGATTTTCTTCTTCCTGTTGTAACAGAAAGAAGAACAGGAAAACAGTGAAGTTCTCTAAATCCTGAGAGAATCAACTTCTGTAAGCATGTTTAGAGATCAGCAGTTTAGAGAAAAGAATAGCAAATCAGCAGGATTCTTTCCCACAAGCAAAATTGAATAAAAATTATCAAAGTGGAAGCCCAATACCTACAAATTCTTCTCCCATCCTAATGGAAGCAACTCAAAATCTCAACATGGTACATGCCAACTATCCAATTCCTGTCTCCTTCACCACCCCATTAAAAAACAAATACTTCTTCCTTCAGCAAAAACATTGAGTTTACATCATCCCAACTAAACAATCACCCCCACCTTCCACCATCACCATCAAACTTGGTTACATCCACGTTTATTCTCATTTTCTTCCCAACAACAACTGAAAAAAAGGGGCACCCCTTTGCATTCATGCTAGTTTCCATTTCCCTGTGTTCCCTCCTGACCTCTCTTCCCTCCTCCAAGATTATGGTCCACCATTACCCTTTGTTCTTCAATGTACTCCTCATCTCCTCTATATCTCCCTTGGATTCATCTTTACTAGCTCCTTTTAGCATTTGAAAGTGCTCAAGTCACCCTATCCTGATAGAACTAAAGATTCATGAGAGTAATTTTAAACATTCCAATAGACTAAAATCAGAGAGCCAATTGAAAGAAAAAATATGCATATTACTTATGCCTGCAACAGCGACTCTAAAAGTTGTTAACAAGGGTTTATAACTTCTGACTTTTGATTATTTAACACATTTTAAGTTTACATCTAAAATTCTTTATTGCATATTTTAATGGTTGCAAAGAATATAATTTCTATCATGTATTTAAATTTTGATATTTTGAAATTACAATTAAATTAAAAATCAGCAATTTGATTTCTACCATCAGCCATATTTCAAATACACATATTAGCTCTTTTGTAAAAGAGATTTCACAGTATTCCCTTTCTTCTTAAAATCACATTTTTGTTTCCCTTTCCCATACTATTTACCATAAGGTGATATATTTTTATGCTTCAATGACTTCTATGGATCACCCCATCAAAAGTGAACAGGCAGGTGTTGATGATTTTAGGTTCCTACAGTGTTTAGGTCACTGTGTTCAGACAGTTCTAAGTATTAAATTTTAAGGGGGAAGGTATTTTAGAAATCAATTATATTATTGTTAGTCCATGATTGATTAAAATAACATAAATATATAATGCATTTAGGTAATTAATAAGTAATAACAAGCAAGACATTTTGGAGGTGCATTTTTTACTGAAATGAATAGGCATAATTTTAGGGTGTGGCTAAAAAGAAAAAAATTCTCTGATACCAACATTATATAGTATTTTGAGTTTGGCCTCCCTGATATTTATTCATTATAAATAAGAGCACATGATGAAAACCAACATGAAGAAAGCCATGCTGTTATTTACAAGGCAAAAATAAATAGGATTTTGAAAGGAGAAGTGGGAAGGATAATGGCTGCGATTCATCATGAACTTTCTCTGAGGCAGATCATTTTCCAAGAAAACACATATGGAAACTGAGTTTCTAGAATCTGAACCCATTATAATTCTCCAGGCTTCCACCCATACCTTAGAAAGTCTGCACCTACTACCTGAAGGATGTGTGCATCAACTTAAATATCCCAAGTGAGATCATTGCCTGAGGTTGCAGTCTCACTTGAATATCCCCAGGAGTGCTTATCCATGTAACTGACCCTCCATCATTGGTTTTTCTCATATTTTCTTCCCTCGGCAGGAGTAGAGGATCTACAGCTAAATCACAAAGGTTTTCATCCCCGTGGTAGAAATGGAGCAAATTATACTGGTCAAGATCTATAGCATATGGTATGACATTTTTCCTGAATTCATCCACAGTCTGACCTTAAGAGAAGTGATATTTAAAAGACCATATCTTGAGGTCATTTGTGGGCATGCCTGTCTCTGGTGCTGCTGGGAATATAACGACATCTAAGTGTTGAGGCTTTGATGCTAACGGCCATCTACCAGATGTGGAGTACTGTGCTTTGGGGCAGGAAAAGAAGGCCAAAGGAAGCATCATTTGAGGTCACTATCCCGCTGCTTATAATTACAAGTGACAAGTGCAGAGAGTCCACAGCTTGCTCACAAAACAATGAGAAATGGAAGGAGAGGTAGGAACGAGACTTGGAATGATGACAGAGAGTAAATATCTCAAGCCATCTCATTCCACTACTGGAGTCTACAACAGGGGTCAAGAACATATTGCCCACCATCACTTCCATTTAGAAGACCTGTGCCAAGGGTCAGAATCCATGGCAAGTTGCCTCAGTTAGTCAAAACCTGCAGGTAAATCATGTGGTCTTGTGTTTTACATGGAGATTCTATGAGCTGCTGGAAATTAAAACTTTGAGTTCTTTTCTAACATTTGTTCAAGAACCATTGTGAACCTCCTTAAAATGAAAATTACTTGGGCCCAACTCAAGAACAACTGGTGCATAATTAGGAATGTGGAGGAACAAGTATCAGCACTTTTCATGAGCAATTTGGACTTTGATGACCAAGGACTCAGGAAATCAGGTTCAGAAAAGAAAATGCAAACCTACAAGATTTCTACATCAGTAGCCCCAGATAATTTTTTTAAAGTTGTAGATCGACACAATGTCTTTATTTATTTATATTTATGTGGCACTGAAAATTGAACCCAGTACCTCACATGTTGCTAGGCAAGTGTTCTACCACTGAGCCACAACTCCAGGCCCCCAAATAATTTATTCTGTTGAGTTATACTTTTGCATTATACACATGTTCACTGTGCCAATATTATAACATCAAAAAATAGACAAATTGAAAACATGGGATTAAAAACAGAAGAGCAAATTCTAATATTTTCTTCTCACATGCAAACAGATCATCTGGATTCCTCACACTGGAGCCTGTGCATACACCCCAGGGTAGAGACTACTCACTTCTAGGCAAAAGAAAGAACAATGCAGAAATTTTAGATGATGTCTCTAAGAGAAGGCAATGGCGTGAGCAAAAGGCAGCCAATGGGAAGAGAAAAGTTTTAAATGACATTTACTGTTTATACTTCCCTACCAGCTTCTGTATGACTATAAGCTACTTCAATCATCTTCACAGCTTCCTCAGATATCTGGGCAGCCTTTCAGCCCATCACTTAAAACATTACCAAAATATGACTGAAAACATGGAAGAGCTATTCTTTCAGAAATTGGTGGAAAAGTAGATTTTGTAGCTGAAAGGGAAATATTGGCTTCAGAACAGGTCAAGCTAATATTTTTTGAGATATTAAATGATTTTCTCCTCCAATGTTTTCCTTTCCAAAATCCCTTAATGTCTTCCCTCACTTAACCCAGTGTCATTTCCAAACATTCTATTTGCATGAGTTCGGTAGCCCGTAGATTTTCAGTTCCTAAAGCCTTTTTCCCAAACTGAAGCAAAACCCTATAGGGTTTACACCAAGGGCTGGGCAAACTGAGAGAGAAGGAAATCTCTGGCAAAAGAAGTGATTGAGACCAAACATGAGAAAGCAATTCTTCCAGGCTAGAAAAAGTGGTAGGAGACATGAAAAAGTTTGGGGATCCCTAATGAAAAAACTAGGCATGGAGAGGCCATGAAAGCATAAAAGAGGGACACAAGAGGCTTTGCTGGACGTTCCCACCCCAGCCTTAGGAGAGTGATCCACTCCTGCAGCCCCAGCAGCCATTGTGTCCATGAGCTCCCCCTCTGTCCAAAGATGGAACTGCTGCTCTTCTACCTACCCTCTTAGCAGCCAGTTCAGGTGCCTCTGCTGGTCAGCCTACTGCAAAGCTTGGCTCACATCACATCAGTTAAGCTCAAGAAAATGGAGACCATCCCCCAGATCAGAATTTTACTAAGGAAGTCCCTCTAACACCTGTGGAACCGGGACTGAGATCAGCCCCATGCACATGGGCATACATTCACTCCCTCTAACACAGTTTTCCTTTCATCCTTTGTTCAGTGAGCATGTCACTACCAGTCCATTTGAAATTTCTAAACAGGTCAACTCATGCTTCCAATCCTATCCCGTCTTTCCAGTATGTACTTACCTCCCCTTAAAAAATGCTAGGGACAAAATGATAATTTTTTGTAGAATAAACTAAACAAATCGAAATAATAAGATACAAACTGTCATTTTTCTCTGTTGTTGAACATGAATAAGACAACCAGCACAATTTGGTACTAGATAGGCAAGAAAGCTGAGAATTACCCACAGATATACATGTGGAAATGTATATTAGGCCCTTTTTCCTGTTCCTGGCACGGAGCTCCTAAGACCCATGGAATTTCCTAAGTGATGGGAGAGTCTTTTGTTATTTATAATGAGTCTCTTTCATTTATGTTAATGAGGTGACTCTTGGCAAGGCCCCTAGATTGCTTCAGGATGAGCACTGGTCTGGTAACCAGAAAAAACAAGCACTTGATTCAAGGATAAAAACTTTCATCATCTCTCTCAACCTCTGAGGGAAAAAATGGGGCTGGACATTTCACTCAATCGCCAATAACCACCGACTTAATCAATCATGCCTCCACAATGTAACCTGAAGAGCCACGGAAAGGAAGAGGCAAAGGCAGTTTCTGAATGGGTGAGCATATCCTCATGCTGGGAGACAGAGGCTCCTGCCACAGGACCTTCTGGACATCTCCCTACATATACTCCTTTTTATCTGACTGCTCATTAATATCATTATAACTAACTGCATTGGGAAGATTAGCATTTCTCTGCATTCTGAGTATCATCTCAGCAAGTTTTTAAACCTGAGGAAGGGTCATGGAGACCCCTAAATTTTTAGTAGCCTGGGCAAAAGTATGGGTGACTTGGGGACACCTTTTGTGGCTCACATGTGAAGTGGGAGCACCTAGTGGGACTGAGCCCTTTGCTTCCTCTGTTGTCCTACAATAAGGTGAGCATTCAAACGGCACAGCAGTACTTTAAAACACGAATCACAATGAAGCACTCTTCTGCTCACAGTCCTCTGGTAGCTTTCTATGACTCTTACAATACAACCCACGCCACTTATTCTAGCTTTCCAGGCCTTTTGTGACCTGGCCCTGCCTACCTATGGAACCTCATCTCACACCACACCCACTTACTCATTAAACCCTACCCAGGCTGCCTTCTTCCCGGTTTTCTGTTTATTAAACCCACCAATCTTCTCTTTGCTTGTCCTTGATCCCTTGGCCTGGCATTCCTCAGCCCTCTTCCCGACATACCAGTCTAAGGTCTTATTGAGATGTCATCTTAGAGACACTTTCCCGGATCGCCCCATGAGTGACAGAAGTTCACCATCACAGCAGGCTGATAAAATTCCCCACATACCCTTCTCGGCACCTGACACACTGTGTGTTCCTTTATCTGTTTACTGTCTGATGACTCACTAGAATGCAACCCCCAGGAGAAATAGGACCTGTGTGTCTTATCCCTCACTGCAACCCCAGTGTCCAAAACAGAATCTGACCTTTTGGCCAACTGTTAAATATTGGAAGACTGAAAAGCTGGTGAAATCTTTCTCCCAGGAGTGACCAAGAAGTGTGTCCATTTACGACTGAACCACAGAGAAGACCATGACTCTCCTGATGCCCTGCTTAGCTTGGCGTCTGGCTGGTGACAGGAACTCATGCTGGGAATGAAACTATTTCAAGGATTCACTCCATGAAAGGGGCTGTTGATTAGAGCATCAGCAAGCATAAACAGCTTGTGTGCAGCCAAACAGGAGGGCCAGCACCAAACAAGAGCTCTGGCAAATTTCCTCACTCCGTACCATGCTTTCAACGTGGTTCCCAAGAAAACCGTTCATCCTGCCAGGCAGTCAACCTCCTGTCTCCTTGGGCACTAATTGCTCTGCCTGGTTAGACAATTTAGAAAAATGCAGCACTCTCAATATGACATAAGGAAAGGGAAAAGGAGGGGGCCTAGCTTTGCAAAAGTACAATGAGTTCTGATAAAAGGAAAACACAGAAAAGTAGCCCAGTATTCAGAGAGAGGAGAATGCTCCTTCGTGGCCCTAAATGCCTCATCTGAGACCACAAAGGAGACTCAGGCTTACCACCGCCCAGTCCTCCATGAAGCTCAGGGTACTTGCACCAGCACTGGGAAACAGAGTCAAGGTATTTCTTAAATCTGGCATGAGAAATGAGAAAGGCTCTCTTACCTTAACAGAGAGAACTTGACTGCCATCCTCAGGGTCTGCTTGCAGTTCCAAAACAGATACAAGGTGGCCTCCCCACAGCTACTTGGGAGACTGAAGTGGTCGGAGCATTTGAGGCCTGAAGTCAGAAACCAGGCTGAGCAACACTGGGACACCTTGTCTCAAAACAAAAAAGCTACAACTTAGTGCATAGTGATATTCATGAGTGCAGTTCCCATGTAAATGTGACCAGCAGTTAATGCTAATGATTAACTCTGCATATTTTTTTCCTCTGCCAAAGTTACCCATCTCACAAGGGACATTTCAAATTTCAAACTCACAGTTAGTTCTTAAAATGGTTATAGTCTCTCCTCCAAGACTCCACAGCCACAAATTCACAAGGAAGGCAGATAAAGATTTATTGTTAGTGATGTTTAAAATACCAAATGTGTGTGTGTTTGTGTGTGTGTGTGTATATATATATATATATATAAACATATATATGCTTGTGTATACATGAGTGTGTGTGTATGTGTGTATGTGTATAATGTGAGGAAGTAGTAAAAAAAATCATTGAATGTGCCTATGATGGAATGTCATATAACATCAATATATTAATGGGGAAATTTTAAAAGCACACTTGTATTTTGAAGCGTTCCATCATGCTTTCAATGGTTTCACAGAAACCCGGACTAATCCCAAAGAATTTCTGAGTTTTCTCCTAATCCAGCTTTTCATTTTTCATCTGTGAAATCAGAGATGTTGCCACACCATAGTGCTCAAACAGGGGACATTGGTTAGAAAGGCATATAATCCTCATGTAAACCTATAGCCACACAGAAAATGAGCATTTCTGTTCTCCAAAGAAGGGAATAACAGAGTCAGAGTTTGAATGTCTCCTCCCGCCCTCTGCTGAGTCTACACTTTCACTCAGCCTCTTCAACGGCAGCTGCAGGCAACCTCCTGGGACAGGGAGAGAGAAGAAGAAATGACAGGGAGCGCAAACCCAATGGAGACTCCCACACCATTCACAGGCTAATGGAAAAGAGCGTACAGAGGCCAGCTATGAACCACAGGCCAAAAAGCCACAGAATTTAAGGCAGGCCAAATATGAGTTGTGAAACAGAAAGAAGAGTACAAGTAAACTCCAAATTCCTAAACCTCTTGACTGGAAGAATAATGATTCCTTTGAAGATATGGAATATGAGCCATAATAGAAAGAGAAGAGCACGCCAAGTTGGGGCAAGTTGGGTCCCTTCAAACATTGAGAGATCTAAATTATACCTCTGGAAGGCAGGCAGGAATATGAATGTGATGTTTTGGGTAAATGAAAGAAGAGAGATCATAACAGCCATTCCATCTCCAGTATGTACCACAGGCCAAGGCCTTGCCATGTGGCCCCAGGTAAGATTTCTGCCGGCCTGTGATGCAGGAAGAGCAGGCAGGCACAGACCTCTCCTAGGAGAAAACCTGAAAAGTATAAACTTGCGAAGTGGGAGAGTGTGTGAAACCATTTCCATACTTTTGCCAAGGGCACCTGCAATGCCTGCCCAGTGGGGCTCACCTGGATCCATCTCACTCCCTCACTTTTTACCTTTCTGATCTACTGCCCACTCCCAGTGTCCTCTGACCTGTTTCTCCTGGCAATTTCTGTCAGGTGGAAAGAAAGTATCAGGACCCTACTCTGACCCTTATCTCTGGCTCCATGCTGGTGACAGCTCCTTAGATATGGGAGTCCTCATCTGTCTTCCCCAGAATGAAGCAGCATCTTCCAGACTCCGGAGAAAGCCAACACAA